GGCAGCTGTCGTGTTGCAGCAGCAGCATGTTCATTTTAACAGGTCTCTGACTTTCATTTGTGTAACTCGATTAAATCAGATAAAAGTGAATGTATTCACTCCAGGGGCGCCCCTCTGTGGGGTATTCTTGTTGTGTCATTGGTTGGATTACTTACTTTTAATTACAACAAAAAATGATCTGTGAATTCTGGATAAAAATTACTTACAATAAAAAATGATCTGTGAATTCTGGATAAATTCAATAACCCATTTAACAACACAGTAATTTTAATTTGGCCCACAAAGCCACAGACCAGTACCAGATTCCTGACAACTAAATACCAGTTTTCATACTGTATTCATCAGTTCATGTTCATGTTCATGCAATAAAAAAACAACTTGAAAGCTCAGATGTTTACAAATGTAGCTCCTCATTCTTGTTAAACTTTACACAATACACTCTGCCTCTGTCTATAAAGGCTACATCCCACATTTCCCAGTCACTAGAGTGGATTTTTTTTTTACAACCTACTTAACTGCAAATAGCTAAATACAAGTATTTACAGAATTCATTATAGAAAATCACAGAGTTGTTTTCAGTATATTTCTGTAAAATGCCTGGTAACAGAAATATACTATTGTAACTATAAATATATATTTATTTTATTTTTTTGTAGGGGTGAAACACACGTCAGATAATGATCTTAAATAATCACAGAAGAAAACACGCATCTTAGCAGTTACTGCCCACAGGTTGATGATGACCAACAGGCCAGTGCATGTTAGAGGAATAACAAAGTAAATACATCCATATAACGTCTATATTCAATCAGAAAGATGCGTTCAACTGTGGAGTGTACGGTGACTGTGTTTGGCAGGGAACCACCCTCTCTGTGCCAGAACCAGCCTGGCTCCCTTTACATCCAAACAATCCCGACACAAACGTGCGTCAGGATCCATTTATGGGAATTGGTGGGAGTTGAGAAGTTTAAATCTATTCAATCCAAACACGGAGAAGCGAGACGATGAGATGAGATTATGTTTCGTGACGTCATTCCTCCCGATGTTTAAACCTTTTGTGACGGCCATCCTTTAAACAAACATCCCTGAAACCTGCTGTTGTGGTCGACAGCCATCAGAACACCAGCCCTGCAGCCACTACACCTGTGTCGTGACTCATACGCCCACATCCACCCTCTGACATCACTGTGACCTCATCACTCACAGCCCACTGCTCACAAACAAAACATTCAAGCTGAGGCTGAGCATCAAAATAAAACTCACACAATACAGAGTATTAATCAGTATAAAATATCATCCAGAGTTTCTTTTTAATTTTCTCCAGTACCATAATATATTTTAAATGTTTAAAAACAGGGGACGAGAAAAGACAAGAGATCAGATAAAGTGTCATTTTCACCTGTTGCTGGGCGAACTCGGCTCACTCTCTTTCTCACCCTATCTTATCCTCTTTTTATCTCACTCTATCACCCTCTCTCGCGCTTTCACTCCCCCCCTTTCCTCCCCCTTGTTGTGTGATGTCTTAGCATGGTGCCGCTTGGCCAGAAAATGACTAACATTTCTCTGTTTTTTTTTTCCCCCCCAGTCTCCAGAAAGAGAGCCAACGAGTAGGAGGAGAAGGAAACAGTGTGAGGAGATGATGAAGGAGGAGGAGGAGGAGGAGAGGGGAGACGAGAGGGAATCTTGCTTTTTTACTCCCAGCTCAGAGACACATGAGAAGGCAGCAAACTCACAAGTAAGAAACACAGACAGCGCAGAGGTGCAGAACAAAACAGTCGTTTTTTTTTAGGTATTTGTTTGAATTGGTCTGAATATATGACATATATTATGTAGGCCCTTTAGAGAGTATTACTATATGTATATAGTACAATGTATACAGGTCTAAAAGAACAATAATGATGTTTATCTTATAGCTCTCATCTCTATCACATGGTAAAATTATTCAAATCTAATAGATGTTTTTTCAAGTGTGTGATCAAAAGTTTGAAGAGTTCAGAAATAACAGACTAACAATTTTAAAATCAGGGTTTAAGTGACAGTTAAAATCAAATCAAAATCAAGCAGCTCGACATAGAAAATATAGGGATGATTAAAAATCAATCAAAATCAAGCAGCTCCACATAGAAAATATAGGGATGATTAAAAAACCATTTAAGACTCGATGACTGTAAAAAACAAAAAAGACCAGCATCAACGTAAGCCTTTTTTTTTTACATAACACAAGTCAAAGGTACAATACTATATTTATTGTGCAGCTTGTTTATATATTTATGACTTCAGTTTGGGCTCCAGGCTCTGTGCAAATATTCCCACATACTCAGACCAGAGGTGTGTGTGCAAACGTCAAATAAAGTCCTCATCCGTATCCCGTCCCGAGGCTGCGTCTACTGGACCTCAACAAACACTACAAATACAGCCTTACGCATATAGAACTGCACTTTATAAACCACAGACTCTGCAGGAAGACGGAGGAGACGGGACGTTCTAACGCAAACATTCGGCCTCCAGATGACTGAATTTGGTATAAGCGTGCAAACACAATCGCTGACATGTACAGTCACAGATGAATCATTGGCTACATGTACAACAGAAGCTGGTTTTGTGGTTTTTGTTGTGGCATTTTTCTCCGCAGAAAGAGCAATTAATTTTTCAGATGTTGAGCTGAAGCTGAGAGAACTTCACTGAGGTCAGACCCCACAGCGAATCAAAGAACGCATTCCCTCCGCACCCTGGACATCAGACAGACTCAGCTTCAGAACTGTACCAGGCAAGTTTTGTTTTTTTGTTGTTGTACTGTTGAACAAAGCGACTCTGCAAAACACATCAGTACCTCCTCGATTGATTTTCATTACAATAACAATACTATTCTTAGTTTGTTACCGACAGTAACATAATACAATGCACTGGTGCACTGGAACTGAGTGACAAAAGGATGAAAACAGAAAAATGGGTTTTAATATTAATAAAAAGTTCTAGCGAAGGCAGGGGAAATAAAACAGACGATGTATTCAACCCTGGTGTAAAAAAATAGAAGAGAGCTGTAGTAATAACAGCAGTCTACCAATATTATACTGGAGCCAGAATGTAAAACTAAAGATCATCACACATTTCAATGTAAGGTTCAAATATTACCGGCATCCGAGGTGTTAATATGTTGAAGCCCAGCTGGATTTGTTTATCTTCCCTAAGTTAAATAAAGTAGCTGTAATTGTTTAGCTTATATCAACAAGTCATCAGTAGCCAGGAGAATTTGGAATTCAGTTGTTCCTTCCGTGGACCAGTACAACATCGGTCCTTCAGTGACCTTCTCACAGAGACCCACTGTACATCTGCTGTGGACAGAGCATCATGTTTTGTCCACTCTCATTACCCTGGGTGTCACATGTCTCTTGTGTGAAAGCCCAGCAGGCGTTGGATGAACATTTATGTCAGGCAGAAAATCAGAGGAACATAAAAGGACACGGGACAATTTCCCCGCGGCACAATTACCGACTCACTCTCTGCTGCTGCGTTTTATACCTGAGAAGTAGCACATCTTAAATCACAGCCATTCCTACTCATGTTGTTCTACCTGTAGCCATGTCCGTGTCAGTCCACCTCAGGTCCTCTGATCAGAGTGAAGCCCTGATCATTAGCCACTGTCATGTGAGACAACTTCTGATCAGGCTGAAGCCCTGACTTACATCATTAGCCACTGTCATGTGAGACAACGATTCAATTTTTTTTTAATCAAACTAATCAGATTACATAAGTATTTGTACTCTTGTAATCAGTGATACTGAGTACTGTCATTAATACTTCTTCTTGGGTTTCAATAAATATGCAATGAACCAGATGAAAGTGCCATTTAAAAGTATTGGGTCTCTGGATCAGTACCTGTTTTTTAGTACAAGTAGAGTCATGAGGCACGCTGCATGTAATATTGAATTATATATTTGTTGTTTGAGTACCTCAATATTTCACTATTTACTTTTAAATGAAAAATATTTCATTACCATACAATATTTAATAATTTTATGTGAGCTAACTTTAGTGTCTAAGTGTCTAAATGACTTTTCATTCTGTCGTTATTCACCTGCTGACATTTCTCTGCATAAGAACATTCTGAGTGAGTCAGCACCTTGTGTATTTTCCCCTTAAAAGAGGAGCAGGTTAAAAACCACAGTGATTCAGCTGCTGCTCCTTACAGAGTCTGCTGGGACAAATTGTTTTTTTAGCAGCTATTAGGTGCATGCAATAAAGAGTCCTAGTTGTCTGGCTCGTCCTCTTTATACGATTGGGAACTGGCCAGAAAATCAGTAAAACAATTGCTAACTTCCAGGTCCTTTAAGTAGATCTCTAAATGACAGCACTCAGATGTGACAGCTCAGTTAAAAGTCTCCTGTTTGTTCTGGCAGATAGTGAACCTGAATACTTGGGTATTATGACGCAGTCCAATCAGGGGTCAAATGGATGTCTCTGTCAATAGTTAATGGAATTGGCAAAACAAAAGTCTTGTATCAATTGAAAAAGGCTCGCTATCATTCTGAGGATCAGACATTTGTTGTCCTCTTGTCTTAGAAAAAAAGTCATGCTACTATTATCCACATCAGAAACAGAGATGCAGAGACGTCCCCGTGTCATGTGTCACCAGTCTTAACACAATGCTGCAGACCAGATCTGTGTGCAGTAATATTCTCTGATGGCAGTGGCCTTTTGGTGCAGGACACAGCCGTCATTGTTGGAGAAGGGAGTGAGGAACAGAGCGAACAGTTCAAGGTGCCCTCTAAACCTGATCTTAATATAATCGAGCATCTGTGGAATGTGCTGAAATCGTTTTGATCTCCTCTGGCTCCACTTCACAACGCATAAATCTCTTGAAACGCCCTGTTTGTTGGCTCTTGTGTCACAGGATTTTTTTTTTTTTTTCACACAGCAATCAGAGCCCTGACTACGTTTCAGGACCGCTGTCTGTGGCCAGTATACAGGTATTAGTTACAGACTTTCACTGCAGTAAGAGGACAAGCTGAAATGCTGGCTGTGAATTGTTTTACAGGACCTTTATATTGAATTGTCATGAATGGGTTCAGTCATTTGTGCGTGTGCGTCGTCAGTGTCCTTCACAAGTTTTTCGAGAGCCATCAGTCCAGAGGGTTTTCCTTTTTGACCCTCTAGTTTTCACGAGCCACACTTCTGGGATGAGCAACGCATATCTAACCACATCTCATCGACAAATCTCCTCCAACAGTCAGCAGTTCAACGCAGCGGTTTAGCATCACAGCAAAGTTTTTATGAGCTAATACAACAAGAGACCAGCAGATGGCCTGATTGGGGTTCAAATTATTTCTAATTCTTTTTCTCTGTTTCTTCAACTAAAACCTGAGCCTGAACCCTTGAATCGCAATGAGATAAAAATGCTTTTGCAATAATAGGTATTTTGTGGGGATGCACCAATATACTGGCCAGATACTACATTCAAATACTACTTGTACTCAAAAGCATATGCCGATCCAGCAACCTGATACTGCGTCACAGATTTCAAATACAACCAGCAGCTCACTGGTCATTTCTGTTTTTTAATTTTATCTTTAGTTTCTTTATCAATTGTTTAATTTAATTGCAGTTTAGGTTTAAACACTTTTTAGTTTAATGTGACTGAGTTAGCCTTCTGTTAATGAAGAGAAAATTCAACTCTCTATCTCCACACTCCACCCTGTTGCCCACAGAGTTGTTTACTTCACACCTTTACAGTACAGTATATCTGAGCCTTCCACCAGTTCACTGTATTTTATTGAAACCCATTCTAAAGAATTATCCTTGATGGTACTCTGTTTCAAGTAAAACAAATTGTATTGTATTGTTTTTTGGGGGGTTTTTTTTGTTTAGTTTTCCACCCCCCAAAAATGGTATTGGGACGACCCTAGTAATTTAAATATAAACAAACACACTGCAAAACACTCCAAGAAAATTCAAACAATAGAGAGAAGATTTTTGACATAATTTTACACAAGCTTTTCGATTGTCTCTTGTAACTGATGTCAGCTCTCCTCTTTCTTGTTGCCAGCCCTTTTGATTATCTTTGCACAACTCCCTGGGAAGGCATTTCCGGAGAAGACACTGGGATACAGCTGATTAAAAGATAAACGATTATCTTTGAAACTGGTGAGATTGTCTACATGGAAAGCAATCTGTGTATTTAGATGATAACGAGAAAAAAAATACTTGTGTAACATGCGGTAGTTACAGTCTGGAGCCTCATATAGGATTTCTCAGCAATGCTAAAGCTGTTGGTTTGTCAAAGTGCAGTAATACTAGAATGCAATGCTACATGAAAAAGAAAAAAAATCAAAACTTCACCAAGTACTTTGTGAATAAGTTAATGATAATTTAAAAAGTGTTTCTATATAATGTATTAAAAGCTGCCGTGTCAAAGTTGAAGCACTTGAAATGTTCAAATGGAGAAAATGAATGACAGACAAGAAGAGCTCAAGGACTCACAGGTTGTAGTGAAAAGGCTTTGCACTTAGACTAAAGTCATATACTGTAACCAAGCAGAACATCATCACATCTGGCCTTCTTTTCTCCTCTGTACGCTTCTGTGGTAACTAAGCCTGTTGCTTGGCAACCTCTTAATCAATACCTGGTCCTCGCCGGAACAAAGCAGAACAACGAGAGAGGAAATAATGGAGGAACATTTAGCTAGCAGCGCTACAGTACAAAAGGCATGTCAGACGGTATTTGTGTGAGCATCAATCACTGGCGTCTGTTAGCGTTAGAAACCTCTTGCTATTGTTGGCTCATTGAATGGTTGGCAGTAAGACAGCGAAGGAGGAATGGATTACCCGGAGCGTAAAATATCTGGAATACACTGAACGCCCGGATTACATGTTTGTCTCGGAGAGAACTGACGTGAACAATTTTTATCAGTGTGGCTTTCATAACTGTCATCGTTAACTTTGTGTGTTTCGGCCATGTGTGAATAAGGAAGGGTGACGTGTAGTGAAACGCAGGAGGTTGAAGGTGGGAGTATGATGTTGTAGGAATGCTTCAGTGCATTGGCGACTCGGAATCTGGGGAGGGTGGATGAAACTATGAAGAAGGTGGAAAGTAAGAAGAATTAACCAATAACAGACCTCGAGCAGTCGGGGTCAAACCTGGGTCATCAGGTCTTTCAACATGACAACTTCCCAAGACATTAACAGGAGTGGGTTCCTGATCCATCTCTGGAAAATCACTGTGATCATTATTGGTTGACCCACTGATGGTCCTGACTCTACTCCCATGGTAAATTTGTTAAGTGAACTGACGGGCAGAGTCTCTGCCAGAAAACACCCAATCAATAAGGAACGTGGAAGATTCATTATCAAAGACCTGAGGCGGGAGACCTGCCTGACAATTAGCAAAACACTGCATTCTTTAAAAAACGGTTTCTTCCAGGAAAAAAAATAAAATAGCAGACGTTATTTAGCTGCATAAAACAGCTATCAAATACTTGGGAGCTATCAAAAAGATGGGAGGAGGGAGAGAGGGGGGCTGCGTCTGCATGTATCTGGAGCAGTTAATTTGTCCAGAAATTCAGACCTCCAACTGGGCCGGCATGGAAGCTGGGCTTCTGCATGATGATTGGACAAACTGTTTAAGAAGCGTGACTAGCTTTTCTTTTTTTTGATAGTGCTTTGAAAAAATGAGAGAATATTTTCTTTGTCAGTTCCATCCTACAGCCTGTTGTGCGTTTGCTGTTTAATACATGTTTCATGTTTATAGCAGTGGATATTGGGAATAATAATTCTGGCTTCTTCTTTTAGTTTATATCATATCATTCTTTGCTATATTTTTGCTTTTCATCTTATTTTACTTATATTTTTACAAGCAGGATTTCTTTTTTAAGTAGATGAGAATAAAAAGAAGCTTCTCCCCACAGACCAGCATCGCCACCGCACTGAAGCCTTAAGGGAATTTAGATGTTTGTCCATCTCTAGTGCTTAAGGAGATGTGACTGCCACAAAAGAAATGCATTCATTTCCGCTTTTCAATTTATACTTAAGTAACATGAATTAACTGAATTTGTTATTTGAAAAATGTTAAACCAGCTTCATCTGAGAGCTACAGCTATGGTGATATGTGAGTAGGAGTGAGACGAAGTGTGTGAGAGCACACATGCAGATCAAACCGGGGCAGGTGTGTATGGTGCACGGTGAGAGTGCAGAGGGAAAGTGAGAAAGAGACGTTTAAAGGAAGGGAGCGAGGGAGCATAAAAGCGAGTGGGAGACCGGTGTCATGCAGCCCACTTTCTTGTAGGCGGCATCAGGTAAACATACAGCCCATACAGTAGCACATCTATGAGGACATTATCCCACTTTCACAGTGAAGCCAACACTGACATCTCTGAGATATTAAAAAAAAAAGAGAAAGAGCTTTTCACACCTGCTGAATGCCACAGTTCCACATTCACTAACACAAGAATATCTTTCTGAGCATTTTCTCTCTCTTCAAACACAGCACTGTGGCAGCTTTGTTCAAGGCCGAATGGATTTTCAGTTATTCAAATGAATTCTAATTTTTTTTTTTTTAGGCAAAACCTTACCGACAGAAAAAAAGTGATAGGAAAAAAAATCCATTATCACATGTGGGAGGCATTAATGCACATGCAAGTGTGGGTACATTTAAAGTGCACGAGGGCGGTGATGAAATAAACCTCGTGGCTTTCGGATGTGCGGTGATGAAGAGAAAGGTTTATTTTTATTTCTCTTCCAGTTTACTGACAGGAATAGAGATGTAGCTCGTGGGAACCCATCGGTCATCACGGCAAAAGCACAAACAACTTCAAGTGTACTACTAAAAAAAATTTTTTTTTTTGGCAAACAGACCTAAATTACAGTTTCTAGTTTTTGTGAGAGCAGTCGATAAGAGAATAACGGCCATTAACTGTGGTAACGATCATTACTGTACTTCAGTGAAAACTCACTGACTGGCTGTTCTACATTCTGCATTTCTACAGGAGAGTGACAATACTAAGAGAATCTGCTTTGTAGCCAAACAACATATACATTTGACAACAGGACAAACTCATTGATGGCACAAAACGCATGTGATTTACAATCAGAAAGGTAGCATCGGCTGATGGACGTCAGTGGATGACGCTGTGGGTATTTTGCAGATGCAAAGTACAGTGTGTGTCATTTGTTTAACCTCTGTAACCTTTGTATCCTCATTAACTATGACTAATTATAAATCAATGTTGTTATAAACATAATTAAACAGAGAGCACAGAAGACTAATTAGCGCAAATAATGTACAGGGAGTACAGAAGACTAATTAGCGCAAATAATGCGGATAATTCTAATATTTCTAAAAAATATGAGAATAATGATAAATCCAATCTTTTTGACAATAAAAACTTTTTACTCTGTCTCGAGAGCGGGATTTGGCCAAACAATACAACATTTGTGTGTTAATCCAGCTTGGCTGCAGTTTCAGATCTTTAAAAACATGCCGGAGCGTTTCGTGCCATCAACACCCAAATTCAACAACACCCTTAGAAGGTTGAGAACCAATAATTCAATTGTAGCCGAGCACTGGCACACGGAGAGGTGCAGAACTGTTCTTGAATAGAACGTCTCTGCCTCCTGCTGAGACGCTGGGAAATTATCACCACTGATTTGATTCCATTTCACTTCTCTTTGTACAGCCTTTGTGTGTTCTCAATTTTCTCCCAATAATTAAATTTAGATACTGAAATAGTCTGTTACATTAAGGAGGTCAAGTGAAGGTGACACACCCGGATGCAGTGCCGTTGGGGTATTGAAACACACAAATGATTCCAGCTGTTGTTTTTGTGCTCAGTGTCTGATTTAGTCAGCAGGATGACACATCATGGCTGCAGCAAAAATCAGTGTTTCTCAACATTGAGCAAGAAAACTAATAAAAGTAAACTAACAAAGACATTGGAGGCTTTTTAAAGTGTCAAGGTTTGTGGGGTTAGGGAGTGGATCTTTTAGTCTGCACTGATGAGTCTAAGTAGTTTGACGTCTACTGATCTGATGTGATTTTATCACAGAGTTATTTAAATTGTTTACACAGAATGGTCCAAAAAAAAAAACAATATCCGCTTAGCAGCAGCCCTCAGGGTCAACCCCCATGTTGATGCCAAGGGTCAGTGGTGAGTTATAGTTGAAAGAAAGGCAACAGTAACTGTAAATAACCGCAGTAACTGCGTGTTCAGAAGAAAAAGAAGACATGAAGAAGACCATGTGAAAACCCACTGCATTAAGTGCACTGCTTGTCGTGGAACTGTAACACTAGAAGAAGACCATAAGCGATGTGCTATAGCTGTCGGATAAAAGAGTCTACAGCTTCAGCGAGGCAAAATAGCACAAAAGAAGATTCTTAACATATTACTTGATTCTCATAATTTCTGTTTCTGTTGGTGGTCTTTGTCTTTTTCTTCTGAACACCGTGTTCAGAAGAAAAAGACAAAGACTTTTTGACACCAAAGAGCCTGTTTAAAATATCGTGCACCACATGATTCAACTCATAAATTTGAAGTTATAAAATGCCAGTTTGAAGCCTGCTACTCTCTGCTAAATGTGTTTCTTCAATGGTGTTTTAAAAGAAAACAGAGTGAGAGTTGAGTTGAGCTGCAGTCTGACCTGTGTTACTCTGGCTGAAAACAGCCAAGGTCTGTCCACCCACTGAGTGCATGGTGAAGGGATGATCTCTTGGCACCTGCGGCAATCCTTCCTTCTCCTCTGCAGCGGCCGGGGCACTCAGCTCTGCATTTAGACTGAAATGCACCTGAGAAACACAGCGCAATCAAGACACTGGCCAACAACAGCCTGGTCTGATTCATCGGCTAAGTTCATGAACTTGATTTGCTCATCCCTACGAATGAACTGAGTCAACAGCAAACACTGAGACCACGAACAACAACAGAAAATAACTGCTAACATGACAAAATGGGGAATAATGCAGGGGAAGATAATTTGCATTATGATCCAGCTAAAAAAAATACAGTAGTAGTTTGGCTGTTTCTCTAACTTATATTACGAACAACTTATAATGTAAAAAATGTACGCTACATCATAGATGGCCACGAGAGGGCACTGTCTACATTCGTGTATAATAGTCTTTCCAGATTAAACGTTCAATTATGGATACTTTCCTATATCAACACATTATTTTTACATAATACACCTATTACAATTGTCAGGTCTATGAAGCACAACACGAAACTCACCTCTGTCTTTCCTTGTTTTCTGTCAACAGAACGAGAAGAGCAGTCGTGAGTAGAAAAATTTAAATGTTAGTGGTTTTAAATGTCGATCACCAACCGTAGGAACCTACTTATTAATGGAGATCTTTCCAACTTCTCCTGTAGCCTTGTCCCACTGCTGAGATAAATACTTAGGAACCTGGTAACACACAAAGTAGAGATGACATAGTCACGCGTCTAAGACAACGTGGACATTTCCTGTTGTGATTACACTGTCACAATTGTCATTATACCTTACTCGGGATGTAACGTTAAACTCATGATACTTATTATATGATATGATTCGTAACTTTTTGTTTACTATACGATTTTGATCTTGTTTGTGTGTGTGTGTGTGTGTGTGTTTGTAAAAAAATGAGTTCCAAACAAATTATGACAAAATACAAATCCTTTATTTGGGAACTATGCAAAATACCATTACCAACTGGTCTTGTCATAAACTGAAATTGTTATCTTAAATAACAGAATATATTTTTTAAAAAAGTCAAATTTATTTTACGGAAATACTGTATGTCATATATATTTCAAGATTTGTTCTTTTTTTTTACAAGGAATTATCTTCTCTAGTCTACAGTAAGTTGTTTTACTAAGGTGACGTGGTAATATAAGCCACATTGACTCAATGTTTTTAGGCTTTGGAAAACATATTTTTAATGTTTGGTCAAAGATGTTAACTAACTAAATTATATTCGTACTTTTTTTTTAAACAGCTGTGTTTACAAGCGGCTCTGTATAACGGCTAATTAAGATTAATATTTTAAAGTGACGTTGTCCGACATAATTACTGCAGGTTTATCATCATAAACTTAAAAGTTAAATACACTTAAAAACACGCTACAGAATGTTACTGTGATATATATATCTATATATAGATATATATATCGTATCGTATGTAGTAATGTTTATAATTTCTTAATCTAATCAGTGGCCGTTGATTACATCAGTTGCACCTGTTCACCTAAACACCGTCTGTGTCGTCTAGAGTCCAGGAAATTGATTATCACTGGTTTATATGTTGAATTGCAGATGAACTAACCTTGACTAACCACACTCCTTGACTTTGTTTGACTCCTGTCAGGTTGACCTCCGTTTTTTCGGACATTATTGCCTTCTTGCTATCAAAGACCCGACGTAACCACAACCACAACTCACAATGCAGGAAGCTGGTGTGACCTACAAAATAAGATTTCCTTTTTTCTTTCAAAATAAAATCCGGGATAAACGGCAAACCCCTTGTCCCGGTGATTCAAACATCGGGATCTTGTTAGAGGTAAGTACAGCACGTTAATTACATTTTTTTTTTACATAATCGGAATTTTGATTACTATAATGTATTATGTTCTTTTTAAATTCCAGAGGCAAGTTTATTGTTTTCGTTGTTTTTTATATCCGAAAATTCCAATAAAATTGCACTTTTTAATCTATAAAGAGAAATAAAAATTGATTGTATTTCACATTCCTAAGATGTTTTGACAAACTCTAAAATATGTGATTTGTCCAACGTTTTTGAACTTTAAAGCCAAATGGAAATGGACCTCCATCCACCCACACACCAATAAATAAATAACATATACAAAAACATTTAGATAGTATAGGGCTACGAAGGTTGTACAGAATGTCAGCTAAACTTTTAAAGAAGACCAGAACATTATAATCACCATGCACAGCTGTGATTGCCAGTTCTGAATCAGTCTCACTGCACTAATTACAGGGTCAAGCATATACTGATGAATATAAAACGTCCATATGCATACTGTAGGTGGGTTAACTGAAGCCCACACTTTGATTAGAGTGTTAACATTTAAAGTGCCAAACTTCAGCAACTCGAGTGGGGAAAGAGAGTGTCTGCAATTGAAATTTTATGCATGATTTATTTTTTAATCAAAAGCTGTCAGTGAGGGATAAGTGTGTCTGATAAATGATTGAAACTGGGGTTTTTTTTTTCAAATAAAAAAAGGGGCAAAGACCTTATGCAAAAAAAATAATCAAGTAATGTTTCTTGTTAGTGGTGAGTGAGAAAGGCAATCTATTTTGAATTCAGAGTTAACAAAACAAATTATTACTATTGATTGGTAATGTAATGCCCAGTCCTTTTCCTGAAAAAGGCAAATTATATAAACTATATTTTTAAATGAAAACATGTCACTGAAAGCCTGATATTAAAACAAGATCATATCATTTTTTAAATAAATTATTTTAAATTAAAATAGACATAATTTTAAATAGCAGATCAGCCTTCTTCTCCGTATGTCCCTCTTCAGTCACATTCCCAGTTGTCCGCTGGGTCAGTGTAACATTAATTTGTATCAGTAGATAATTTATGTGTAGGCTGAGCTGGAGACCAAAGTAAATATAACATTTAACTTTCATGGTCATTAACATGAGTCACTGGAGTGTGACTCACACGCAATTAGTGCTCTTGCCACATGCACTGCATCACTTTGCATATGAGAGAAAACAAAGAACCTGAAAAGCACAGACCACTGCACCCAAGCTATTGCTTAGATAATATATAAAAGTGCTGTATAGGATTTGGATGCTATCGTTGTATAACGATACAATATTTTGCAAATGACTCGAATATCAAATTCTATCCAATGAAAAACGTTGACAAAAATGTGCCATCCAATTGTTTTCCTTTGTGACTAATTCATGTTAATTTAAGGGAAATAAAATAAAATATGTCAATACTGGAAGAAAAAAGAAAATCCTCGAAATAAAAAAAACTACACTATATTTCTGGAAATTTGTTTTTCATCTGTGTTATCTCTGTTTTGGCACTGACGACGAAAGAATAATTATAGTGTTGGATAGTCATCTCAGAGTCGCAACTCAAACAGCTGATTTGTATATACTGCCACCTTGTGGATTATAGGCGGAAATAATTTTGTCTATGGACTTGGCATAGTACAATCGTTTAATGAATGAATAATTAAATGAATGAAATTTTGTTTTGTACATAATGATTCCACGGTGCCAATGATTCCGTGAAGGTGTTTACAATACATTTTGTGGAGCGAAAAAATAATTATTCACTATACCTTCTAATCCACAGCCACCATTTGTCTAAAGACTTAGACTATCAAATGTATTCCAAAAGTAATCATCACTAGTTTGTAGGCAAGAGATTCAAATTAACTACACACTGCTGTGGAGAATTACAGAATTAGGCAGACACTCTGACACTCTGCTCTGTTCTCTACCATCCTCTCAGTTCTCTGATCTTTCCTATTGGGGTTCACCTGGAGAAAAGCGATCCACATCAAAGTCTAAAGCCTCAGCTCCTGCCACTCCACTCCACCCAAGTGCTGCTAACCCCTATTACCACATTTCAAAACTCTAAAACTCCTTTATCAGTCATGTGCTGAGTGAAATATCCAGAAATCCCCTTTTCGTCTGCAGTAAAATGAAGCTGGCATGGACTGAGGGTTTTGATTTTCTTCCCAAGGTCATGCTGGCTCTGATCTGGCACTGGGTGGCGACAGTTCAGACTGTGTTTACAGAGCTTTGTCTTAATTAGGTGCTGATTAATTACAACTTGCGGTAGCCAAAATACATTAAGACACAATGTAGCAAAATCAAATAAACATTATTTTCACTCTAGAATAACATACACCCCCTTTAATATCCATCAGCAAATATAGTTTGCAGTGGTGTGTTCAGTGTAAACATCAACAGAATATCCTCAGTAACATTATGGCAAACTAAACTGTAACGTCTGTTGACGTGAACATGAGTCTGTGCCATCTTATATTCTCTCTTTCATTATTAAACACACTATGCGCAGTAGTTGCTGCTCCTATTTCCCTTTCACTCATCTGACAAGTATGCACATATAAGGTTACTGCTTTGTTTAATTCATCGCACTGACTGTATATCAATGTGTCAATGCAGCACAGACAAAACAAGCATTTCTACAATAACAGTGTATTGCAACATTTGTGTTATCAGTATAAGGAAAAATGCTTAATTGCTCTTTATTTTATTTAAGAAGAACATTTTTAAATTTGCACATATTATATTTCACACTGTTGCTGTGTAAAGAAAAACAATCCTGTTTTCCCCTCAAGGTCAGAGCTGCTGGTTTCACAATGTTCTTATATCAGTCTGATATAACTGTCTGGTTGTTGCTGAAACCCGTCAAATGCACGACCTTCAGTGGAACATGGCTTTTGATCATGTTGAGGAAAAGGTCGTTTTCTTCCTTGCTGTCTGGAACCGAGAAGTTCTATAGAACCTGTGTGACTGGCTTTGTGTCACTATAATGATTCTATCTGAAATAAAACCATGGTTTACCAATGTATTAAACTATTTTGCTAAATACCCTAATTTTAACAATGTCTTAAAGTTTCTCTGTGAGTTAAGTTGGGTGGGTGAAATCTGCTCTTTTGAACCTGAGGCTGAGTCAGAATCACATGTTGTGCAGCATTGACTAAACAATTTGCAACACTTTTTGATATGTAGTCTGTTTTCTATTCTCTTCAGTGCAGAGTTGTGACAGAGAGAGAGAGAGAGACAGAGAGAGAAGCGAGCCTCCGCACTGGACTAGTGTGTGGAAAAACAACCGTTAACAACAGTGTCTGCAGAGAAATCTAGCAGCTCTCTGTGGTGTTGATGGTTTGACCTGTCCATGTAAACAAGTACTGGGCTTTATACACTTTTGTCCTACTTCAAACAAGAAAGAAAGTAATAGTTCTAGGTTTTTAACAATAATTTGTGGACAGCGGTTGATATTTTTTATTATGAGGGGCGTTTAAATTTTAAGCAATTTTTTTCATAAGTCTCCCAATTTTTTATTTAAATTTTAAGCAATTGACATTTTTCATAAGTCTCCCAAATTTAAAAAAAAATAATAATCGAATGCTAAAAGTATTATGCAAATGTGAATATTCGAACTGATTTCGAAACGTGCCTTTTATTTATATTGCGTATATCCATTTAATTCGATTTATTTTTTTATATTCTACCACTTAAACTTATGTAATACATTCTAATACGGTTGTTGACAGCTAATCAAAGAAAAACATTTAAAACGTTATCTATATTTGCACGCGTCGCTGGTTTGAATAGAAAAAAACAAAACAAACCCCCCCACTATTGTTATCGTAAGGACCCAGAGCTGGGAGCGCCCTTCGCTCGGCTTTTTTCGGCGGTTTCCGTGAGTGTTGACGTTTGCTTCGTGTCCGCCTCTCCCAGACTGCTTTATGTCTGGCAGCAGAGACCATGCGCGGTCGCCATATTAGCAGAGTACCCTCCCCTCTGGTGCCGTCACAGCAGCAGCAGCGGTGCGGGAGCAGGCTACATACTGAATAACGCTACGGCTTGTGAGGACCAGTGATACAGCAAAACCAACACCAGGACTCCAGTGGAATGGACTAATTCTTAGGCCGCCCTCAGCCTGTGGACGTATTGGCTTTTTTTGTTTTTGTTTCAATGTGCATCGCATGAACAGGTTCTTCGTTTCCATTTTGTTTGGCTTGAACAAATTGAGCAGTTAAAGAGACCCTGTGTGTTAGCCGGTGATGGAGACTGGCAGCTAACTGACGTTACTCCTCTTGTTAAGCCAGAATCTGTAACAGAGGCTCGGTTTTTTACTATTAACCCCACTTTGTTTTGAATTGGCTTCTAGTAGCAAACGCATCAGAATGTTAGTCTGTGTTTAAAAGGGGGCGCAGCCGGGTAACAGCGGGAGTTAGCCGAAGATTTACATCTGGCATCAGCTGACGTTAGCCTGCTAGCCGTTAGCTCCTTGTGCCTCGTTGTCACTCACTGGTTTATGGGAGGCTGTGAATACTGACTGGCACAACTTTGCCCGATATCTCCAAAACAGCCGTTCGACGCTACGTCTTTGTGTTTATTTTTCGACTCTGCTGTCTTGTTGACTGTAGCTTTGTCAAAACGGCGCCGTTAACGAATTGCAATCTTTCTGCTTACTGTCGGAGACCAACTACCCCCCGGATTTTTTCGAAATGCATCATCCGGACACTGCAGGAGACTCTGGTAGTGTTAGGAAGATGGCGCATCCGTCTGTCTTCCATAGAAGGGGTAGCGGCACAGGCAGCGGGAGCGGCTCCACGCTGTCACCACCGGCAAACCCGGTGGTTACCAACAGCCACGTCTCAGCGGATGATTATCAGCCTTCCTTGCTGATTCAGTGCCAACCCCCTGCTGGTTCATCCTCTCCCGGTCCCCATCATCCGCCTCCCCACAGCCTGAATCTTGCCCAGCCCAGCCAGTCGACTGGATCTCAAATAAAAAAGAAAAGTGGTTTTCAGATTACAAGTGTGACTCCAGCGCAGATATCTGTGAGTACCAACAACTCCATGGCTGAGGATACAGAAAGCTATGATGACCTGGATGAGTCGCACACAGAGGATCTGTCTTCATCCGAGATCTTGGATGTGTCTCTCTCCCGGGCTAATGATGTAGTGGGGGCTGAGAGAAGCTCCTCCGAGGAGACGCTGAACAATTTCCATGAGGCAGAAACACCTGGAGCTGTCTCTCCTAACCAGCCTTCTCACCTGCATGCATTGAATCAGGCTCAACACCATGGTGGAGCTATGGTGAATGGTACAGTCCACCATCAGCACTCTCATCATCCTAACCAAGCCCAGGTCTTCTCTCTCTCATCTGGAGCTGGAAGCATCCAGTCTGCCCTTCCTGCTGGAGCTTTACCTCGTGTCACCCAGAAAATGCCTTCTAATGTGGGGGGCCCTCAAGAGAATGTTACCCAGACTCTCCCTCCAAATATTGTTGCCCAGTCTGTGGGGGTAGTGGCCTCTGGATCTATCCCTGGAATGCACAGTTCTGTTACAGGCACTACAGTTAGCATAGTTAATCCCCAGACCAGCAGTGTTAGTAATGTGAATATGTTGAGTTCTGCCAATGTGCCTGTGAGAGGGGGGATCAGTACCAGTGCTAGTAGTAACAGTGCTACTTTTTCTCCCAGTGTGATGAGCAACAGTGGGGGAAGTGGCGGTGGCACTGTTGCTACTGGGGGAAACATTGTGACTGCTACTAAAACTGGCATGAGTCAGCACCATCAAAATATCAGCTCTAATATCAATATGACTGCAACAACTTCTGCTGCTGCTGCTACTGTTTCTGTCTGTGCCTCTGGAGGTGTGGCACACTCCAGTGGGATCCAGGGGAGAGTTGCAACTACTGTGCAGCAGCCTGTGAATGCAACCACTGTATCATCTACCCATGCCCCGGCCCCTGCAGTTACCACCACTAGTTCTCGCTTTAGGGTGGTGAAGTTGGACTCGAGCTCTGAGCCCTTTAAGAAGGGCAGATGGACATGTACTGATTTTTATGACAAGGATAACCCAGCCTGTGCCCCTAGTTCTTCTGCAGCTGATTCTGGTTCTCATGGCATGCGACAATATGTTTCTGAGAACTTTGCTGCATCCTCAGAGAGAGAAAGCACAAGTGGTGGTGCTGTAAGTAGTACTATGAATAAACTGAGCCATTATACTGAGAATGTGTGCAGTGGAGAGGCTATTGGACATCCAGTACCCCAGCATGTTCAGGATTATGCCTCCCCTCCGCAAGGCTATCAAGGAATTCTCCCCAGTGGCCTAACCCCAGGAATATCACAGGTGCAACCTCACATGCATGCCCAAGATATTACTCATTCACACGTGATGACTACAGCGGCTCAGTCGGCTTCTGCAAGTATTCATCAGCCAGCCCTTTTGCCTGGACAGCAGGCCACAATAGGACTTTCCACACCTTCTGTATCTCAACAGCAGCTCACCTACGCCCAGGCAGTTGCTAATCAGTTGCCTGGATCCACACAGGGTCTTGTGGGAGTTCAGCAGCAAAAAATGGTCTTTGCCTCTCTGCCACAGCAGCCTGCAGCTTCAGGTCAGGGAAGGCCTCCAGAGTACAACCAGGCTCATCAAGGTATACAGCAGACTGCTGCTTCCCAGTCTCTCTCCAATCAAGTTGGATCAGGTTCCAGTGGACTAGCAAATGGATCATCTCAAATAATGGGAGGTCCTCAGCCGTCACATTCACTTTCCCAAACACAACCCCAGCAGCCCTCTTCCCTTCAGAGTGCTGCCGCAACTCTGCCCTCTCATGTTGGTGTGGCAGGTCTTGGACAGCAGGGTCAAAGCCACCCTGGTCATCTAGATATCCAGCAGCAGAAGCCTCAGTCACTCACAACTCAAGTCCACAACACAGCCCTGGGTCCCCCGCAGTCCACTACGGTACATCAGAGCCACTTGTCTGCGTCCAGCGGACCTCCTCCTAACACTCAAAGCGATCCAAAGTCCCATCCCAAAGCCCACACCACTGGGAATAGTGGTAGGATGCCCACACAGGGTGTTCCTCAAAGCCAGCCGTCTACAGTCAGCATGTCCCAGGACCATAGCAGTGCCCAGGCCCTCACCCATGCTGCCCAGACCAGTGCCCTGTATGCCAGTCTGCCCTCCTTTACCACAACACAGCTGCAGGACGCCCAGCGTCTGCTTCTTCAGCACCAGTCGGCGTTGCTGGGGCTGCCCAAGTTGTCTGGAGTGGAGGCAGGATCTGCATCTAGCACTGGCCCGGGGCAGGAAGCTGAGGGCAGTTCCACCACTACCAGTGCCTTAACCGCATCAGCTGGTGTTAAGACTCTAGATGGAGAAGATGATGGGTAAGAGCTCCTATTTTCTGTTTTACCAGATTAATATTATAAATTAATATTAATTTATAATATTAAAGTATAGTGTAGCACTTGCCTTAATCAGCAACATTTTGAATTATAACAACATGCTTAATGAGACATGCATGCTGCTAAAAGGATGGTTGATGTTTAAAATCAGCGTTCTTGCTCCCAAACTGGATGACATTCGTGGTCAGTGCAGCAGCTGTGAAGCAAAGTGGAGTGTTATTGTTTTCCTGCAGAGCAGGCAGACAGTGGCCAGGCTACTACAGGCTGACTGTCCTCTGCCAGTGAAATAGAGTGCAGAGCTCAGCTGGATCTGACATCTGTTGTCTTGTAGTCGTCGTGTTTCTATCTCGAGTGCAATCTTAACAATTTACGTTTTTTTCTACACGCAGTTTCCTGTGTACAACCTCTCTGCCTTTTTGTAGCCAGAAATTGAGGAGCGCTATGGATTACAGACATGTGAAAGAAAAACAACTGTAATGGTACAAAGATGCAAAGATAATATCACAGCTAGTTTTCCAGTCTTTTACACCTACACTTGAAAATACTCCCTTCCTTTGATGACTTTGTCTTAAAAAAGAAGGTTGTTTACATTTAAAGAGTGTAGTAATAGTGCTGCAGCCTCTCTTGTACACTAAAAGCTTATTGATTTATATTAAGTGGCCTTTCTCTCTCTCTCTCTCTCTATCCCCGCCTCTTTCACCCTCCATTTCCGTTCTTTCTTTCTCTTTTTCTGTTGCTTTTTCTTAAGGTTGCTGTTTTTTCACCCCATGTCTATTTGTCACTCCTTGTCATTTCATTTTTAATGCTTTTACTCTATGCTTCATTGAATCTCTCCTAAAAAGCATTTCATTTTTAATGCTTTTACCCTATGCTTCATTGAATCTCTCCTATAAATAATACCTAATTAAAAATTAAATTGAAATAAAAATCACTTTTAGGGTTTAGGGCTTTACTTACCTTCGGGTCATAACCCTAAGCTTTTACGCCAACCTAAGCCTTGACATAATTGACATTTCTAATACATGGTAATGAATGAGGAAAAACAAATATGATATGACCAGTAGCAACTTAGAATGTAATCTGGATGCAATTAAGGTGGTTTTGTTTCAGTGAAAGGTGGTGACTGAAGTCCCATGATTTGTAATTCTGAGGAATGTGAAAGTCTCTGTAGGATCAGGTGGATTATTGTCCTTGAGGATCAACAGTATTTGGGTGAAGCCAAAGTCCTTGTTAGAAATGAGGAGATTGTCTCGATAAATTACGATCACATTAAAGTTCTAATGTACAAGCAGACAGTCCACGACTCGGATGATATTTCATCCGATGCTTTCATTGTCCCATTAATAAAAGCCAGACTTAGATCTTCTTTAGATCCTTTCCATGTTGCAACGTTTAAGAGCCAGATCCTCTCGTAAAAAATGATTTGTGTAATGACTGGTAATGTATTTAGTGTCCAGCAGAGGGTCTGCTGTGTGGCTCTTGACATTGTGCCGTATCGTAATACAGGTCCTAATGACGAGGATGACCCTAACCGCACAAACCACCGCTTAAAATCATGTCTGTTTGTCATGTCAGTTTAAAGGAAAGAGAAGGAGAAAGTGTCGAGAGTGGGATAGGTTGTCATCTGTGGATTTCTCAGAGTGCATTGACACAGCACTGGTGAGGGGTGGGTGATCTGTTTGTGCAAACTGCTGCTGATTGACTACTGCAGGGTTACAGGGCATCATCAGTAAAAGAGTCATTGGGAAATGGTGTCAAACAGTTAATAGCGCAATAGAAGGAGAGAGAAGGTAACAAGTCTTTACCACAGCATATGTTGTTGTGTACAATAACAAAATGACTGGGCCAGGGTTGAAATATTTTGGTGATCCTGCAGATATTCATTTCTTTTTTGCTGGAGCAAACACAAACCAATTTCCTGTTTAAAAAAAGCACAAGGAAACTTTAGTCTGCAGCGCCTGTGTGGCATAAACACAACTTCCGCCCTCTGCATTTTACAAGTTTTCTAGTATGTAGTGCTCTGTCTAATATCCCTTTACACGAAAAGTAAACAGCACGTGTCATATGCAGTCGTGCTGACAGCAACGCCTCCCCTGTTCCTACCGAGCAGGATGAGCGAGAGAACACCAGAACACAGCAGAACAGCAAGCCTCTTGTCAACCTGCTTGTCTGTTTGTGTGTAGGTGTGTTTACTGCTTTTTAATCCAAGCACAGAACGCATCAATATTCATACTGACTGGGGATGGGCTGGTTTGAGGAAACGGGTCTTTCGTGGACCACTCACTGCAGAATTCCGTAGCTCATCCGTGTGCTTTTGTATGCAGATGTGTTATTGATTTCATTTGTCTCCATGCACCTCCTTGCTGATGGTTTACTTTTCCCATCAATAAACAGGATTGTTTCACTTAAGAGGGTAGAGGGAAAACTAATGGCTCGTAATGGATGGTAATGGATTGTGTTTTAAGACAGCTGTGCATCTGTGAGAAAACTGCCCTGTCACCCCCCTGAACACACGTGTGCTGTCATACATGTTTTTCTACAGTTGGTTTCGACGCTCGTTGATATCATGCACAGGTCTTCAACCTTTTTTTTTTTTTCCACCACTGACAGTTTTCCTGTGAGACAGTATTCTCAACAGTAATCAGTAGTAATCAAATTATATTTTCCTCTGTAACCAGGTTCAAAATGGTCGATGGCCTTGGCGGCTCACGACCTCTGACCTAATGCATTTTACATAGTTCTTTACTTGTCACTGCCACACACCAACCTCATGTGTAACCATTGAGGTTTCACAAATGCAGATGAACAGACAGTGGTCTGTTTGGTTGTGCATCATAAACTGCATGAAAAAAAATTGCTACGGGGACAAAGCAGTCAGAGAACTTCAGTTAACAGCATTCATTTTGTTTACTTATTTGTATTTTGTTGGTCAGGAGAATTTTGCTTCCACTTTTAAAATGTTTTTATGTTACGTGTACAAACAAACATACATTTACCGTATATGTTTTGGTAGATAAATGTGTGAGTAATGATAGCACTGACCTAGTAATCATCTGTGGTCACGTGCGTCGAACATCGTCATATGTTTACGATCAATTACGGTAAAGTCATGTTATCTCGTTTAACACATTTTTATCACCGGGCTTTATTGAACGGTTGCTCTTAGCCCCCTGAACATGTAGGCAATGTGCTGAGTCATGGCTGGGATTCCTGTCCCCGCCGCGCCGTCCAGTCAGCTCTAGTAATCTGTCAGTCACAAAAACACAGACACGCCGTCAGAGAAATAAGTTATTTTTAATTCTGCTTCACATGATGGCAGTTTTCTGTATCGTTTCTCTACTTCATGTGCGTATCAGCACCAGTTGGTTTGCTCTTAATAAATAAAGCTGTTTACAGACCTTAAGCTATGAACATAGTTTACAACCTTGGCCCAATTAGAAAACCACCAAAACAAGTTTTCATTGGGTGGTTATTTTAGGGAAACTTGTACTATGTAGGATTGAACTTAATTAAAAAAGCTCAATGATTTGTGTTTATACTGTATATTAAGTATTATATCCAAAATATTTCATTTACTGTAGGGAATTAGCCATGTGTACTCAGTGCTAGCTTCTATCATAACACAGGCACTACAGAGACACGGTGCACAGAGATTTAAAATATAATCCAATAATTGTTTATAAAAGTTAAAATCACCTGTTTTTTTTTTAAAGGGGAAATTATGTTTAATTATTGTTATTGGCGTCTAATAACAAAACCAATGGTTTGAGTCCTTTTAATGCCAGTCCATATTTGGAGTTTTCGGCCCCTAAATGCAGAGCTGGGAATAGCTAAAGGAACAGAAGTAGCTTATCATAAACATGAAAATAATGTAAAATGTGTGCACTTTGTTTTGAAGACTGGAGTCTGATCATTTCATCTCGTTTAACTTAGCTGTAATGTCATGGGAGATCTGGTAAAGGAGCATGTTTTCCCATTGTGTTCATTATTTAGCCTGGAGGTCAAGCATTAGTGCAGTCACGTAATTTAAAATTAATAAAAAAAACCCTGAATGTTATGTTTATAAAACGATAATTTTTCATCTATTTTATTTCACATCAGTTAAGTAAAATCTTTATTTTTGCCTAGCAGGCATCAGCTCTGTTAGTAGTCCTTGTATGCCCCCTGCTGGCTGGCTGTGAAGATGCATCATACGCCATAATTTAAGTGGTGCATATTTAAACACAAAAACATTTCTAATAAGAGACTTATTAGAAAAAAATAAAAAGTGAAATATTGAATTCTAAAAAAAATCATCTATTAAGTAGTTGAGGCGCAATTTATCAATCACCTTATCAATCCAGTCCTATATATTGTGTATATATTGCCAGAGGCATTATCTTCACCTAAAATGTAACAAATAAAAGCATCACACTAATATCAGCGTCTAAGGTCTAAACAGAGCTTAAGAAAAGTTCATTCATTAAGCAGTAACGGCGCAGTTTTTCTTTTTTTCTTTTTGTTGAGCACTAGATGGCAGTGTGTGACAATGGAACTGTGTCAGTCTTTAACCAGTGGAAAATTCTTCATGCATCTCCTGCCACTCAAGCACTCTATAAATTTGTACAGATTAAATTTGAATAAAAGGAAAACATTACGTACAAACAAGTCGAATTGATCTGTGCTAGCTGGTGATTTATTCAGACACTCGTTTTTGATTTTTGTCCACTGTTGAAACATGATTATCGTCTGTAGCGGTCACCCATGGATGAAAACTGCTGCAGTCCTTCACGTAGAATTGATTTGGAGGAGTCATAAGTTATTGTTTGTGAACATGTTTGCCTTATTAATATTTTCACTGTTGTATATAATTAGTTTGTGGAGTATTAATAACCTAAAAGAAATGCATTTTTCTTAGGTATTTAATTATTGATGTTTTTTTCTGTTTTCTTTCTTTTCATGTTCTTTTCATGCCCTTGTGCTGCCTGGTGGTCGTACAGGTAAGACTCTGACTTTCTTATATGTTATTTGGTGTGGCTGTCTGTAATAGTGAATTATCAGCACAACCAAACAACAGTGGTTGAATGGCACAGTGTGTTTTACTTTTTAAAATCTTCATCACAGGTTATGTTATTGTGTAAAAAAAAAAAAAAAAAAAAAAAAAAAAACGGTAATAACAATGGAGGCAGGGGAAGAGGATTTCAACTGGTTACAGTATGTCTTAATGACATTTCTAGGTTTCTGATTTCGAGCTTCCAAATTTCCAAATATGATACGATGTACTTTATTCTCCCACCCAGGAAAATTTGTCTTAGACTCGGTGGTTGTGTCCAAAAATGTGTCCAAATTTTGAAACACACTATGACTGACACATAACAGTAATACATATATCCCATAACCTGTGTCCAAAAATGTTTTGAAACACACATGACTGACGCATAACAGTAATACATATATCCCATAACAACACACAATGCGTACATTTTCCGTAAATAATATATTCTAAAACATTACCTTAATAAAAGTGTTATAAGAATTCCAACAGCAATATTAAGGAATTTGATGGAGGTTCAACCTCAAGCAGCAATATTAAGGAATTTGATGGAGGTTGGAACCTCATGTGGAGCCGTTAGATATGTCCGGTTTGTCGGTATAGGCCTGCGGAGAACAACCGTTTGTTTGTGAGTGGGTTGTTAGCTGTGCTGTCGTCATCATTAGTTAATCCACTTACCGCTCTGCCATCCCTGTGTAATCGTTGCTCATGCACACATCACTGTGCGAACACAGACAGATACTGTAGTGACGCTGAAAAATGGGTCAGGACCGATGGCCTATTTATTTGTGGATTTCGTTTCATAGACTCTCCCAGATCGGTTTAAAAAGAAAGAAAAAAAACATAGCATCAGTAATGAAGTCTTTGAGTAAATTGTGTTGCTTTAATTAAATAATGGCCTCCTTTTAAAATAGAATTTAATTTATTTTTATGGTTGTAAACCTTTATAATTATTAAGATACTTTGTTAAAACTTGTTGGTGCCTCTGAATTTAAGAACAAAATCTAAATCTTATACCCAAATTGTTCACTGATTCAAAGAAGAAAAAGCCAAGAGTAAAAAAATATATAATTATTTGAAAGATGTTCTTGATGAAATCGTTTGTTGTATTTCTGTGTTATGTCCGAGTGTCTACGTAAAGTAATGGCATTTGCAGGAACTCTGCTCCTCTTTGAAGCTCCTCTGCTCATCTTTTCTGCTGCGGTAGTATTACGGCTCCTCTCTGTTGTCTTGGCACAGAGCTTTGTGTGCTAATCCTTTTAATGCCAGATTTCACTCCACATTTTTCATACCTGCTGCTCATAGAAGCCACAGAAAGTTATGTAACTTGGGTCTTGTCTGCGTACGGGGCTTTTTCCAAAGCTGCTTCTGTTCATCGCTCTAGAAGATGATCAGTTTGAGCAAATTTGTGAATCTTCTAAATTCAGTAATTAAGGAAATATATGTTAAAAACACCAAGAACTTCAGACTATTGACTGCGAGCCACCGGGCATCACTACTGAATAATTCACAATGCAGGTTCTAATTTCTTGGGTACTGAGAAGAGCCTCTGTTAATGTCAAGGTTCTGGTTCATCCAGGTTGTTTAATTCCAAGGATGTTTGAAAGTAAGGAACAGACTGCTTTGATTGGCATTTTCTTCAAATAGCAAATGCAGCATTTTACAAAAATTAAAGGTGAGAACTGAATCCTGCTAATACTGCAGTTCTATAGCTTTGTAGATGTGCATTAATGGAATATGCATGAATTTTCAGTCTTTGGTTCATTTTAGGCCTTACGTGAGGCAGAGTTAAGTGTTCGACTTAGTTTACAGATGGTAATGTTTGGTGATCAAAACATATGTGGAGCCAAATGTCTGGAGTGAAAAAACTGGGACGACCTGCACTTTCTTATGACTCTGGTCATTCTGTTTGTGAAATGAAAAGTTGGATGAAAAAAACGAACACTAGATTAATCTTCTTGTATCTATTGCTGTGTGTGTGTGTGAATGCTGAGGCAGTGGATTTAGGCCAATTTAGTTGTGTGTCTTCGGGGCTGCTTCCACTCTGCCTCTGTTTCAGTGCGAAGACCAAGAACCTGCTGTAGTCAGCAAGTGGAACGCTTCCATAGTGCGTCTGTCTAATGCATATTGAGCCTGAAATGGCCACTCATCATTCTCCTGGACTCTGCGACCGACACACTCGGAGCTCACAGCCCATAGTCACAGTGTGACGGTGCAAAAATCATTGCCAGCGCCTACTGTTAGGATCTGTGTGTGCTCTTAGAGTTCAACAACTCAGTAGGGCTGTTGTTGATCACTGGACATGCTAAGGTTTTTGTTTTTGTTTTTCTTAATTTATCAACTTAGGGATTAACGGGGAGGGGGATACATTGATTGTTTTGACTAGAGATTCCTCAGTTAGCAGATCAAACTGTAAAGGATTGGTAAATATCCTCCAAAAAAATCAGCTCACAGATTGTGGTCAACTTCACAAAGGTTTGAAAACATTGGTTCCCAGCATTAAATTGCAAAGAATTTAGTCTTATCAGTGTCTGAGGTTGGATTGTTGATAACACAGGTTGTGGTTAGTAATCAGCCTCCCTGTGGTCCAAGTCTGTCTACTGATAATTTCTAATACATTACGAGAAAGGGAATGATAGAACAGCAGAAGTCACTGTGGCCTTTTTGTTTGTTTTTGTTTTACTGCAGAATATATTAAATTCTGAATTTGACTTGAATTGAATCGTTTTAGAAATGTGTGTCAATTCTGTCTGCCATCAACAGTTGTTTCCAAGACCTAAAAATAATCAGGGGGAATAAAGCTTCACGTAAACATGCCAGTCCATTTGTTCCAATTGTGACTTCCATGTTTGGATCATCACGTGTCTGCACGACATACGTGACACACTTTTAAAATACAAGTGCACATCACTCTTGCCTGAGCCCGGGATGAGATCGTTCTAGATGCTTCCCCCTGTACCTGGATCTCTCCTTTTTCTTAATTTCATTAGGGTCCAGTTCTCTAGCCCCCCCACCCCCCCACACACCTCCTTACTGAGGCCCTGCGTATAATTATGCCTCAATCACCGCAATTATTAAAGATAGTTTATCCATGTAACAAAGGCTAGTGGAAACATGCAGCCCTTTTACAGGTTGTTGTAAAAACCTGCTATGCAGCTATAATGAATATGCAAGTTTTTCTTTTTTAAATAGTGTGTAAAGAAACGACAAACCCTAAATTTGCTTTACGATTTTAACTCTAAACCGATAATGCCTGTCTTAACTGAGTCGTCGTGAGTCTGGCGGCCGTAGAACTGTGTGAATCAACCAGACTCCATGTGACACCGATTTATCCCTGCAAACTGCGGCTGTTGGGACTAGTCAGATCCCCTGCATTGTGCTCATCTTTCACCTGTTGATTCTCAGCTAGTCGTCTGTAAGCTGGTGTGGGCTCTGCTGGAGCGTGTTGTGTTTTCTGTGGTGGTGGGTTGGGGGGCATTAAGCCATCTTTAGGCTCCCTTTCAATGAGAAATGATAAGATGAGGCCTTAAACTTTGTATTATGTTGAAATTGTACATACATTGATTGTGTTGCATGTCATCCATTCAAAACAGTAAAAAACATAGATTCAACCAATTATAACTTTATTTAAAGAACTTTGTGTGTTGTCTGTCCTGCCAAGACTCCACTGTGACATGTGGACCGAGCTGACAGGCTCAACATAAAGGTTGCTTATCTCATTGTTTAATGTAAGTCATTATCAGTCGAGCATCCCTGTAATTTTTTATACCTGTTAATTTGCATATAAAATCCATTATCTTTGGAAAACTTGTGAACACTTAGTAATTTGTGAGAATGCAGTAAGAGACTTCAAAAACGCAGCACTACTGAACAGTTGATGCTCACTCTTGTCACGATGCGTGAGGCTTTGGCAGTAGGGTCAGAGTAGTAGTGAAGGTGCGGGAACTCACTCAGCCACATGCTAATCTCTGTCGATGGTTTACATAACCTCCCCCTGTATCACATGGTCACACGCCACCACGTGGACCGCTGCTGTGTATACTCACTGTTTCAGTCACCGGCAAGCCCTTCTGACACAGACGGATAACGTAGAGCGGGCACACACATGTGTAGACAGTCATCACAACCTAACTTGCCTGTACACCTGCGATCACCGAGGCAACAACAGAGGGCGATGTAAAAGGGGGAAGCCAGCAGACAAAGAAACATAGGAAACACTGCAGTGACCGTGCATGGCTGACTGACTCCATGAGAGTACGGGTTGTTCGAGTGCAAGGCCATGACGAGATGGCAGTGAAGTTTTTAATCTGGGAGCTGGAGCAGCATCTGAAAAGGTAAAATGGACCTGGAGCAACCGTAGGGTGTTGGCTGTCTGAGTCAGTCAGTCAGTACACAAAAAAAAATGGCTGCAGATTATTGGCCTACAGGGACACCTGCAAGTTGATGCTGTCTGTGCACAAAGTAAATAAAAAAATATACCGTATATTTGTAGGAAAGTATAGAGTAGCGATGGTGCATTGTAGACACACGTAGACATTGTACTCACTACTAAGTAGTGAAATGAAGATTGAAGCTAAAGGAAGATAATTCTCCAGACATGCTGTGAGCTTTGTGTTTAATATTCTTTTCTGTTAGTATCAGTCGTTAATTGTTGGTCATCACTGTAAACAACTAGATGATTGACAGTGGTATGTTTGTAGTACAACTACATGTTTAGCAGTTAATTGAGGGCGTGCAAAAGTTTTAATGTTTGTGTCCCTATTAGCAATCATAGGAATGGTATAAGTTTCAATTCCCCGAAATGTTATTAAATATTCATCGTGTGTGCGTCCTCCCTAATTCAAAGGAATAGAGACATGTTTGAGAATGGATGACTGGTCATTAAACTTTCACAGTACGTATAAAAAGTACACTTGATACGTCATCTACTCCAGCTTTAGCTTCTCATGGCACCAAGTATAGCTTCCTCAAGCCCTCTGTGTCCTCAGGTTAATCACATTAGAGACGTAGTTGTGCCGGTTATTTGGGTCTTGATAATTACCGTAGTTAAATCTTCTCCCAGTCAAAGAAGACACGGGAGGAGATAATGATGTCTAAGACTTTCTGGCTATTCGGTTTCTCGCAAAGTGCTGAAATGTTGACCGATACGTTTCGTGTGTTGTTTAAACACAAGCTGAGTTTGAGCCTCTGTTCCAGATTTACTGCGGTTTCTAGTGATAGAAAATATCTTCCTTCTGCTTTGTGAGAATTCCAAGTTATTTTTATCTAGGGATAAACTGAGTAGTTTTCCTTATGATTCATTTAGTTTGGCAAAACAAGCTACGCTTCTGTGGCTTCCTCACGGAACACTGATTCTTAGAAGAAGCTCAGCAGTACAAATGTATACCTGGGCCGCACCTTCGCCTTTAAGGTTTCGAGTTGCACGCACTGCCGGGTATCCTCTGAAAAGCGTAATTGTTTTATGTCTAGTTTGGCTGTTCCACCATTTCACAATGTTTTTCTCATCATACCTTGTGTAATCGGTACAAGCAGACAGGTGTGTGGGTATTTTTGCGGGTTTTGGGTGTGCGTGGAAATGTGAGTGTGGCTTGAAGAAGAATGTGTGTTTGTGGGAGGAGGTCTTGATTAGAGTGAAGTCTGAGGGAGGAGTACTTTAGGTGTGTCCGTGTGACTGTTCAGCACAGCCGAGATTGACCTTGAACAGTTGGTCTACGGTGACTTCCATTACTGGTAGAGGTTTGACAAATGTAAAATGAACAACATGCATCAAACGGTACTAAAACCGGGAATCGATGCTATGTCAGTATCAATACTGCATACTATTATATTTTCTCATATAGTATTGGTTGTTGTTGTTGTTAGAACTTGTATTTATTGCTTAATATTCTATAATATGTAGTTAATAGTTCTATTTTGTGAGGTATTCCTTTATTTGTTTTTCTCAGCTTCATGAGCCTGCAGTGTTATAAAAAGCCACACGAGGGCACCAGGAGGGTGTTTTTTTTATGGGACCTTATTGTTGTTTGACCCCTTTTCCTTAAAGAGCTTAAATGTCCCAGAGTGTCTGCCCCTTTAAACATGTCAAGTTATTGACATCTTGTTTTTGTCTTTGCTTTTATACAACCAAATATACACAGATGATTGATTTACCTCACACTAAGTCTGTTATCATCCCCACTTTGACCTTTTTTTCACTTTAATGACTCTAATGACTTTAATGATTTGTCTTTCTCAAACGTGATCACTGCAGGAGACACAGTATTTTACTTTTATCTGTGTCCTGCGGGCAAAGGCCATCATCATTGAACCTTCTTTTTTTAAAAAAAAGACTTCACAGGATCAAAGGATTTCTTTGTCTGCATTGGGGACTTCTCTAAATGAACTGTGGTTAGCTTCCATACTGAGAATTAGTTTGCGTTAACACACTTGCTTAAAGATGGAGGCTCGACTGTTTTACTTGTGGTGGGATATGTCCTAACATGTTTTACTTCTTTTTCTATGCTGCACGTGGTGATACCTGTGAATTTACTTTTGTTTTATTTGATTTGCGAAGAAACAAAAAAACCCGGTTCCTGTTAAGCAGAAGGCAGGCGGCGGCGGCCTGCATCGATATGTCAAAATATTTAAAAAAAAAACAAAACTCCATTTTGAACATACACGCCCCTATGGAAACAGGACTGTAACTAGTAAAACATTTGTGCTTTAAACAAACTAAGCAAAGCTCTGCGGTGTTGTTTTGATTCAAAACAGTGGTTCTGAGGGGGTTATTGTGTATAGAATTACTGCAAAAAATGTGGTGTGGACCTTTTATCCCTTGATGTTGTATTTGGATGAAGAATGTATTCCTCGATCATTCCATCATTTTCCTCTTGTTGTTGGTGTAAACTAGGAGATTCATCGTACCACAGTGTTGGGTGTGTTTCCTAGAAGTGTTGGGCCTTTTCTCGGAATTTCTTAAAATTAAATTGTACAAATGAGAGGCGTTAAAGAATAGACTGGAAGGATTTCTCCGTGTACTGCAGAATGGAGGCCTTTCTTCTTCCTCTGCCATCCGGTTCTCCCCGGTTTCATCCACCTCCTCTCGGCTCTCAGCATATTTTATGCAAAGCGGCGTCGGCTGAGGCGCAGGTGGAGGCGTTCCTGCATAAATCATGCAAACCGCTCCTCCCTGCACCAATCAGCATCCAGGCCGTGGCTGCGTCGCTGGATAAAATATTCAGGTTTGTCCCGGATCTGCGGATTTTTTCTCCCTGCGCCGACATGAACGGACGTGGGATCGCGCGAGTAATAGTGTTTGTGGCTGACGCTGCGGATCTTTAACGACGGCACCGCAGCGAGTAATCGCGCGTGGATATGTGTCGTTAACAGGAGTTTTTATTTTATTTTATACATTTCTCTTTTTTTTTTTTTTTAAAAAAAGAAGATGAACAGCGTGAATACGCCGTGCTACTCCGTGGCCATGGACCTAGGCGTCTGCCAGCTGAGAAATTTCTCCATATCGTTTCTGTCGTCGTTATTGAGCACCGAGAGCTCTCACGTCAAACTCGACCAGAGGTAAAAAAAAAAAATGTCTTCCTTTATTCGATGGAAGGGTGAAAATGAGAGAGGAAAGCGTTCGGGCTTGTTTGCGAGCACAGGCACTAGTCCATGATGGAGACACTACTGCTGCTGCTGCTACTGTTGCTGCTGCTGCAGCAGCAGGCCGATACTGCTGCTGCTGCTCATGATGATGATGATGCTGTACCTGTACACTGCACTGACTCCTTTTTTTTTTCCTTAAGGCTGACATGTTCCTTTTTTCTTTATGTTACAGCTCATCAGGGGCCAGCGTTGTCGCCATCGACAACAAGATCGAACAAGCAATGGTGAGTAGTAGCGCTACACTGGATGTGGCTAACGTCTCGGTGTCTTTAAAACAAAAAATCCCAAATACAATACTGTGTGGTTTGACAGTCATTAAAAGCGACCCTATAGTGTAGAGCATATTATGTGTGTCTCTGAAATAGCCGAGGAATGTTTTTTATAACCGTTAAATAATACCGTCTGGTTCTGTAAATATACTGTATGTATTGCAGTAGTCCTGCAAATACTAGAAACATGTTAGCCTCCTTGGCTAACCCAAAATCGTATTAAATATCTTCTGTTGCACACAGGATTAAAATCCCCCCAAAATGTCACATATATAAGTTTGTCGGTAATGTATTTAGGTTTAGGTTAATGACGTTTTTTTTCCTCTTGTAAATCTGCACGGTTTATAATTCGTGCAATTCAACTGTTATTTAAGTTTTGTGTTTTTTGGGGGGCAGAAATGCAGCGTTTTATGCTGTGTTCCTTTCGTTTTCCTTCCCTGCCTCTGTTGTCGTTTCTGTTGTCTCTGTTGCTAGGCAAACAGCCAGGCACACACTGTTGGTTATAAATATCTGCGGCCTCCCATAGGCTGACACTGTAGTGTGGGCCGGATTAATGTCGCAGAACTTATTTCCCCTATAACGTCCGTTATTTTGGGGGGAGTTTGGGAGGGACTCACCTTTTGTCTGGGGTTAGATTCAGTGGTCTGAGGCCATAAATACAGTATGTTGAGCATGTTTTTTTTTCTGTATCCTCTTTGTTTAAAAAATAGTTGTTTTTACACTTCAGAATAAGGGCACAGTGTTGTTTTGTTTTTGCGCAAATTATTATTGAAGGAAGATGATTGTCTTTCTTAAAAAAGTGTGGGTGAGCCAGGGCCGAGTAAATATTTATTTCTTAGCAGCCCAGTGTTTTTGTTATAGTGTGTATAATCTTATTTTCCGGCCTCATTTAACAGCGACATAAAGTCGAGTCACAGAGTCGTTGGTTAGGTCCGGTTGTTACATTCAGTGACTAAATGTTGAATTCAACGATGAACTCAGACCACATTTTTTTTCTGATCGTCTCAGGACTTGGTGAAGAGCCACCTGATGTACGCAGTGCGAGAGGAGGTGGAGGTCTTGAAGGAGCAGATTAAGGAGCTGATTGAGCGCAACTCTCAGCTGGAGCAGGAGAACACCCTGCTGAAGACGCTGGCCAGCCCAGAACAGATGGCCCAGTTCCAGGCCCAAGTGCAAACGGGCTCCCCGCCCGCCGCTCCCACATCTGCCATGCCAGTGCCCACCAACACCACCACCGCCGCCGCCGCCACCCTGGTGCAGCCCTCCACACACAGCTCCGGCCCTTCAGCATAGCTTGGTCTGCAAACACACACACACATGCACTCACACATACACACACACACACACACACACAGACTCACTGGCAGTTTTTGAGCTCTGCTCCGGCAGCAGCAGGGCAGCACCTTGTCTCCTCCGGCACAAGGTTGGGCTGTTATGACAAAGATTTGCACATATTTATCTCTCAGAGGGTTGCAGCTAGAGGGAGGAGAGGTGATGACGACAGTCTTAAGATGCTGTTGGAGAAGGATCAGTGTCACAAGAAGATGAATCATTGAACATTTGCCAAAAAAAAAAAAAAATTCTTGGACATACAACATTATGTCTTACCAAGAGACCAGTTCATCAGTGGCATCATTATAGTAAACAAAATTAAAAAAAAAAAAATCACTGTGCCTGTGTCAGGATTATAAGTGATGTCTGTTATACTGATGTTGGAGGAACAGGAAGCGGAAGACTTTCCTGGTTGTTACTTTTTTTTCTTTTTCTTTTTTTTCTTTTTTTGCTGAATGATGTAAATATGTGATTCTCTCGAGACTATAGTTATAGTAATGTGTTGAGAGAATGATAGAACACGCCTTTTTTCAGAGTGACCAATGAAGAATGTTTGCAAATGTCTTTACAACAAACACCCCATCT